TAGTTTTTTTTTCTTTCCTGGCATTTGTCTCAGGGCAAAGATCCAAGGAGGCTGTTTATCTGCCTTTCTCCGAAGCTTTCCTATCTGGCTTCGCCATGTCTTGCATCCATCATCCTGTCTCCTCTAGTTCTCCTCCCCTTCTGTTCTTCAACTCTGTGTTCTCTTAATCAGTTTCCGTGTTTGTTTTCATTAATCTCTTTCCTCTAGAGCAGAGGTCTGCAAACTTTTTTGTAAAGGGCCAAATAGTAGATATTTTAGACTTTACAACTGTGCCATAGTAGCATAAAAGCAGCCATAGATAATACCTTAGGAATGAGTATGGCTTTGTTCTGATAAAACTTTTATTTCTGGACAGTGAAATTTGAATTTCATTGGATATTCACATGTCACAAATTATATTCTTGTTTTGATTTTTTACCCTGGACATTTATAAAATGTAAAAACCATTCTTAATCCATGGGCCATATAAAAACAGGTCTCATGCTAGATTTGGCCCACAGGTCATATTTTGCTTACCTCTGCTCTAGAGCCACTCGCTAGGACTTCTCTCCCATCCTAGATCCTCCCTTCAAAAAGGAGCCACAGGTCTCAGGCGTACAACTCCAAGCAATTCCTTTCTTCTTTGAATCAATATTAACATGTACATTAACATATTTAAAACAATTCATTTCAGTTACTCACGCACACAGCCACCCTCCTCCAATTCTGGGAATTATTAGGAGCCTCTACGTGACTTTTGAGTTTTATTTTCTGTGGTTGTTAAACTGTTCCCTTATTTAATTTAATGTAAATGTTATTTGAGCATATTTTCTTTTAAGGAGGATATCTGTTCCAGTGTAAGTAACCTTTAAAACATTTGAATGTCTTCACAGTCTTGTAATCTACTATTGCAAGATCATTTTGGTTTAAAAAAATATTTTTCTAGGAATATCAATGCTTTCTTTGCACAAAAAGTTTTGTTTTGACCACTACAACTTTTTCTTTTTCTTTTTTTTTGGAAAATACTTTGTGTGCATTAAAATACTTAAACATGTTTGCCGCGATTATGTTACCATAACAAGAATCTGAAGTTGAGTGATGCAAGTCATAGCTTAATGGTCTTTTGGGCCATCATCTTATAATCGGTAATAAAAAGTAACACATGCATTTGTCCAGTGTTTTATAGGCTATGAATTACCTCCATAAATATTCTTCTAAAAACTACTTTAAAATAAATAAATAAGGGCCAGCCCGGTGGCGCACTGCTACAGTGTGCCGCTTGGGAGCGCGGCTGCGCTCCCGCCGAGGGTTCGGATCCCACATACAGACCGGTTCCTGCTCACTGGCTGAGCGAGGTGCGGGCGCGACACCGAGGGTTGCAATCTGTTGCCGGACACGAAAAAAGACAAAAAGGAAAAAATAAATAAATAAATAAATAAGACAAATTTACAACATTAAAACCATAAAATGTTAAGATATTGATACACCCTTCCTCACCACTCCCAGCCACTGCCAACTCTATCTTTTGGGGAATGGGGAAGCAAAAACTATGGTGTTTGTTTAAACTAAATACCAAATGTTCCTTAGGTAAATTGCTTATCAGTGAAAAATGTGTTATTCATCAACTGTCAGGGGGAGATGGGGAAACTCCTTAGCAGTGCCAGAAGAGGGAAGAGAACTAGCATTTAGTGAATTCCTACTTTGCATCAGTTTAATTCTTACAATCCTGCAAAATAGCTCTTATCTTTCCTGTGTTCATATGTGGCATCCTAAAATGTGTGGTCTTTTTCTCCCTCCCAATTATTTGCAATATACATTTTATTACTGGAAACCGTTTTGTACAAAACTCTGATAAACATTTTGATTTAAAAAAAAAAAATGTAGCGTCCTAAGCCTGGAAGTTTTTAGTGACTTTTCCAAGGTAGCCCAGCTCACTGAAGGTAGAGCGTGGATTTGAACCCCAGACTCTGTGTCCACACATACTTCTTTTCAAGAATTCAGCTTAGAAAGAATAAGCTTTTTGGCAAGGTCAGTAATATATGAAGATTTGTAGATATCTATTGCACTTTTCAGTAAGCATATAGACATAGTGCGAAACAACTGAAAACTATATTCAAAACAATCCTATTAATTGAGCATTTATTGCTGCTTTCTGTCATTACATTTCCCGTAGCAAAACAAATTCATTCACAAAATTAAGTCACTTTGACAATATCATTTGCATTAAGATTCCTTTGTTGTGTTTCTTCACATTTGTCCAAATAACTCTACATATTAGTTGTTAATATTTATTGGGGCAGACTGCTCAGAGGCCACGGTACCACAAATATCAGATAGTGATTCAAGTGTCAAGATTCTGAATTTTAAAATTTTAACTCCATGAAAATATCCTCATTAAGTAATCTACCCTTCTTTTCCTCAGCTTCCTTTATAACTCCTCCTATAAACATTCCTTTATCTTTCCACTTGGCACACTCTCTGAATTTTAAACAAAAAGTGAGTCAAGTGATAATGGAACATTCACTAAGTATTTGCTTTAATGGTATTCTTTTTTAGTAGTTATGAAGCCATAGATGCTTTTTTTATGTTTTCTTAAAATTTTTATTTAATTGAAATGTATTTTTTTACTTTCATCTCCTTTTTAATTGAAAAATAATTAATTTTCCATATTTGTGGGATAGAGTTGAATATCAATATCTATATACAATGTATGATGATAAAATCTGGATAATTAGCATTGTTCATCATTACAAATGTAATTATTTCTTGTGTCCTTTAACCAATTTCTCTCTAAACCCCATGCACATTTCCCACCTCTAGTAACCACGGTTCTGTTCTCTTCCTCTGAAAGTTCAATGCATTATTGTGATTGTTGTTTCTCTTTCTTTTTCTTTATTTCTTTCTCTTTTTTTCCTCTTTCTCTCTTTTTCTCTCTCTCTCTCTCCTTCTCTCCTTCCTTCCTTTTGCTCCCAATCATGAGTGAGGACATGCAGTATTTCTCTTTCTGTGCCTGACTTGTTTCATTTGTAATTTTCTACAAGCTCATCCATGTTGCTGCAAGTGGTAGAATTTCATTCATTTTTTTAAATGGCTGAGTAGTATTCCATTGTGTAAATATACCACATTTTCCTTATCCAGTCATCCATCGTTGGACATTTAGGTTGATTCTATATCTTGGCTATTATAAATGGAGCTGCAGTAAACATGGGAGTACAGGTATCCCTTCAATATGATGATTTCCTTTCCTTTGGATACATACCCAGCAGTGGGATTGCTGGATTATGTGGTAATTCTATCTGTAGATGTTCGAGAAACCTCCATACTGTTTTCCATAAAGGCTGTACTAATTTACAGTCCGACCAAGAGTATAGAAGCATTTCCCTTTCTCTGCATCCTCTCCAGCATTTGTTAGTCTCTGTCTTTTTGATAATAGCCAGTCTAGCTGGAGTGAGATATCTCAATGTGGTTTTGATTTACTTTTCCCTGATGATTAGTGATGCTGAGCATTTTTTCATATAATTGTTGGCCATTTGTATGTCTTCTTTTGAGAATGTCTATTAACCTCCTTTGCCCATTTTTTAATTAGATTATTTGGTTTTTTACTGGTAAGCTGTTCGAATTTCTTGTATATTCCGGATATTAATCCCTTGTCAGATGTATACTTTGCAAATATTTTCTCCCATTCTTTAGGTTGTCTTTTCACTCTTCAATGGTATTTAAAGAGTTGTTTAACTTTTAGACAAGTATTTTTTTAGACAAGTTTTCTTTCTAACAACGAACTTTCATAAAATCTAGTAAAGTTAGTTAAAAAAGCTTCTCTTTAACCACAAAGTTGTATATCCAAGACTTTATCATTACCGGGATATTACAACCATTTAGCAAACTTTTTTTCTTCAATATATTTTCGTTGTAAATTCTCAAGATGGTTATAAGTTATGAGAAAATAGCAGCTAAAATAATGGAGAATATATGCAGTATCACTGAAAGACAAACTAAAAATATGAATGCTGTAGTCTAAAAATTAAAAGACTAACAGGAGCCGAAAATGCAATTTCTGAAGTCATTAATCATTTTGACAGGTGATTGTGATCTTCACTGAAATCTGAGGTTCTAGAATATGGTATCACTTTGAATTGTGGGAGAAGTAAATTTACTACAATTAAATTTGAATGAAGAGGTTTTTTTTTTTTTAGAAATAGGTTTGGCCGTGAGTAACAGAGAACTGAAAATAACAGTGGCTTAAGCAAGTTCAGACAAGAGTTTATTTCTCTCAAGAAAAGAGACCAGAGGTAGCCAGATCAAAACTAGTTTGATGGTTCCATGATCATCAGGGCCACAGGCTTTTTCTTTCTTACAGTTCTGTCATCCTTAGTCTTGGGCCAACCTTATGGCCCAAGACAGCTTCTCAAGCCCCAACCATCACCTCCACCTTGCAGTCAGCAGGCAGGAGGAAGTAGAGCAAAGACACTTCTTGGAAGCAGTACATGACACTTCTACCTAAATATCATTGATCAAATCTTAGTCATCTAAAATGGGTACAGAGTTTTACTTTGGGATGATGGAAAAGTTCTGGAGATTGATGGTAGGGATAGTTGTACAACAATGTGAATATACTTAATGCACTTAAAAATAGTTAAAATGGTAAATTTTATGTTATGTATATTTTACCAGAGACAAACAAACAAATACAACAAATATTGTCATCTAGAAGGAGGGGATACTGGGAAATGTGGTTTTTATTTTGGAAACACATTGCTATCCTAAAAATCTTAAGGTTCCATTACTAATGAAGGAAAAGAGGGTAAATGTTGGGGAATACCTAGCAGTCTTTAAAATATGTGCAGTGGCTGAAAATGTAAAGAACAACAAATGAAAAAGAAATATAGAAAGTCATTTATGACCTGTGGAGTGAATTGGTAAGTGGGGACTAGTGATTATGCTTTTACCAGAGGCAAAAAGAAATAAGTCGGACCAACCTGTCATGTCTAATCCATAATTCTTATGTTCTTATGTTTGTTCAGTGGCATTGCCAAAGCATGGAGTCAGGCATATTTTGGGGAAGGATCTGGTCCAGTAATGTTGGATGAAGTACGCTGCACTGGGAATGAACTTTCCATTGAGCAGTGTCCAAAGAGTTCCTGGGGAGAGCATAACTGTGGTCATAAAGAAGATGCTGGAGTGTCCTGTACCCCTCTGACAGGTAAGGATTCATCCCATTAACATACCAGCTCCTGTCCTCAACACCATCTGAGCTTGCCACAGCTTCCCTTCTCCTCAATTTAGATATTACCAAATGAGCATACAAATAAGTCTCCCAAATAAAACTAAAAAAATAAAAACGAACACAAATTGTGTATTAAAATGCTATCTCCCTATTCATAGATATTTCTGAATTTTTCAATTTAAGGTTATATAGTCCTGTAAAGTTAGATCAGAAGATATGATTTGGTTGCAATATATAGTATCCAATAATCAAAATCAGTATGCAATGATAAATTTCAGATATTAGATGTTATAATTACGTCTTTAGTCCATCTCTTAACATGTCTTGAGTCTCAGAATGTGTCTGTAGCTGGTAAATCTATATTGATGTGCTGATTAAAGCCCACTATTAAAGAAACCAGGTTAACTTTGTTGTGCTCAATTTTTGGACTATTCTAAATCACACCATGCCTGTCAAAATATGCCTGTTATAAGAAGGGCATGTCTTAGTGCAAACTGGTGTGAAGGAACTTAAATGTTTGGGGGGCAGGGGAAGAAGAAGGAAGTGGATAGGCAAAAGAAGTTGGGTCATCACAAATTCATTGTTTCTATGGTAAAAAGAACTTGAAAAAATTTTTTGTTTAAAACCTTTCTTTTATAAAAAAATCTAAAGAATAACTTCTTATAGCCTACAAAATACTAAATTTATATTTTTTGTTGGTATTTCTATACATGCTGTTTTTTATTAGAAGAATAACACATTTATACACAATAGATATATAATTTATTCCAGATTTTATGCCACAGCACTTTATCTTCTTGAGCTGCCATTTCCTCATCTTTCAAGTGAGGACAGTCTTGTGGTATTGCTCTGATGGTCAGATGAGGTAATACATGTCACAGTGTTTTGCAGACAGTAAAATATTAAGTTAATAAATGGTTCTTTTGCTAAGAGAACTAACTTTTGCTTTAAAAGACCCTAGAGATTCAGGAAAAATATGACCCTTAACTAAGATTATTTATATGTTTCATTGGGCAGTATTGGGATTATTTTGGATGGAAATGGCTTTTAAATCTACTTTTTTTGTAATTAAATTTATTGTACTGTGTATCTGCTTAGAAGCTCTTTATAGAACTCTATGGGAATTAATTATTCATTTGGTTAATAAGATTCAGATTCAGACCTGTATTATCAATAAAAGAACAAAGGCGAGACATCTACCCCAGTTTTTATAATTCACGAATGCCTAAGGAATAATAAATATGCTGACATGATAGATCGTTCTTTATCCAGAATAGCTTTTTCTGTCTTCATTTTTCAATATTTTTTCATTTGCAGTTAAAATTTTGAACTATTTTCAAGTTACTATGCTTTCTTACTTTTCAAATGTAAATGACCAGTATTGCTCAGACATCAACAGTCTGAAGGTATAGGAAATTTCCCAAATATTATTTAATATAGAGAACTCTAAATAGATACTTTGGAATTATATCAAAATATATTTTTCTACTCAGAAAATAGAAGTACAAATAAAAAGGAAAGAATATTTTATCATGACAGATATGTGTTATGTCAAATTTCAGAAACAGTGCAATTACCTCAGGTCACTGAGCACAGTCATAACCTAAGTTTAATAAAAGGCCCCAAAGGGGGACTGAATATGGTGATATTTCTGATGAAATGGAAATGTTGTTTTGCCTTTTTTTTGAGAGTTGATTTGCTTAGTCTCTATGTCTCCTTTTATCACAGATGGGGTCATCAGACTTGCAGGTGGAAAAGGCAGCCATGAGGGTCGCTTGGAGGTGTTTTACAGGGGACAGTGGGGGACTGTCTGTGATGATGGCTGGACTGAGCTGAATACATATGTGGTTTGTCGACAGCTGGGATTTAAGTAAGGTCTATTGATATCAGGCAGCTAAGTGCCACATTGTATCTTTAAAAGCCTTATTGTGTAATCCCTGCTTGCAATTTCTATCATACTACAAATACATGTTTTTTTTTTTATCATCTATCTACCTACCTTTCTACCGCCTTATTGTGTAATCCCTGCTTGCAATTTCTATCATACTACAAATACATGTTTTTTTTTTTTTTATCATCTATCTACCTACCTTTCTACCTATCTATGGTCCTACCCACCTACCTATATATGGAAGTACAATAACAAAGAACAATGACATTTTCTAAGATAATGAATAATCATCTCTTGCTGTTTATCTTTCCTGCCACCACCCTTTTTCTTGAAAAATTAGTTGAAGCCAGGGGTGACTTCTAGGTCCCTTTGTGTCTATTCGAGTAAGACTTTGAATGTTCAATTTTATTTTGAAGCATCACTACTTTTGGATGTTGTTAGTTTTGACATCATTGTGTCTAAAACTGCAGAGAAGTCCACTGTTAAATTCTTTGGTATTACATTATTCCCATTCCCAGAATATGATGATAATTATCACTTTTTTTTGAGAAAAACAGCCCTCTTGTCATGAAATGACCTTCAGAACTCACTTTGACCTCACTTAAAAGCTGAGTATCACACTTCGGGAGATATATTTCATGTCACACACATAATGCATTCCAGAGTGAGGACTTAAGTTGGTCGTCAAAGTAACTGCAAATGAAGACTTTGAGCTAAGTATTTGAATGAAGCTCATGAATGCCCATTCTTTGCCATATTTCTACGTCATTCTTGAAGTAATTGTCTCATGCTTTAAAAAAATCAGCAAAATTATTTCACTTCAGCTTGAGATAGAGCTAATTGCAAATACTCACTAAACCTTGAAATTTTGCCTTCATTCAAGCTAGACAAAGCCATGCTTAAACATATATTTTAAAATTTTAAAAGAGATAAAATTTGGAAAAAGAAAATAAAAAATTATCTATAATTTTTTTATTCTTATACCATGATTATTATAATTTGTATGGATAACTTTGTATCAGCTAGAGTAGTGGACATGAAATTTTTGTATATACAATTTTTACCTTTATATTGCTACATAGTCACAATTTTTAATGATTACATAATATCCATCAAATGTTCATACATTAATTTACTTAATATTTAAGTTAGTTTAATTTTTACTGTTATAAATAATGTTATCGTGAAGATATACGTGTACATAATTGTCATATTTTGGTTTTTTTTGAGCAGAGCAGTTATAATTATTAGGTCAATCAAGGGGAATGAGATAACAGCCAAATAAATAGTGACATTTCATTAATAAGAATTACTTAATAAATATCATTTTATGTTTAATTGAATCTGTTAGACTGGCAACTGTAGCCTGTTTTTACAGATTTAGAGAGATCTGTAAATCCTATTATTTACTATTTATTTTCACTTTTTTTCTTGTTAATGAAAACAATTGACTGACACAGATTTTTTTCTTCATATTTTACTTATTTTGTTTCACAAATCCATTCAGTTTTTCTTGCATATGCAGAGTATCTGAACTTACTGGTTCTAAAAATGTTCTCAATAATGTGCGTAAAAAGTTCTGAAAATTGTGTTAGAAGGTAAAGATTGTGTAGAAGCATGTGTTACATTTACTTTTAGTTTACAGAAGAATTTTTGAAAAAGAATATTCTTTTGGAATGAGAAAAAGGTTAAAATGTGGGTTTGTTTGTACAAATGCAATCCCAAAGTAAAATGACTTTCTGTTATCTATTATACAGTTGATATGGGCAGATAATAATAAGATTGATGCATTTTGTGGAAAAATGGTGTAAGTTGAAAGTGATAGTAATATAGGATTTAGGTTAATTACTTTTCCAGCTATGTCATGAAATAGTCAGCAAAATAGGAGGAACAAAAGCCTTAGAATGATTAATTTAAAATTGCATTGTTTTAAATTATTAAAACGCTCATCTTGTTAAATGAATTTAATAAATACTCGCATGGGAAAACAATTAAGAAAATTCATGCCAGATAGATCTCTTCGTATTTTTCATATTCATATACAGAAATAATAAAAATGTCAAGTGAGGGAAATGATTGACATAAAATTTATAAGGAAGAGTTGGATTTCGTAGACCGTTAGAGCTGACAGACCTTAAAGATCTTTAAGCTCAGTGATTTCTGGTGGTTTGGACTTTATGGAACTGAAGGAAACAAAATTGGGGGGAGGTTGAAAGAAGGTACAGGCTAATTTAGTTATCAATTTTTAAAATTTTACAGATCATTTCTATCTCTACAGTGTATATATTTCTTATAACATATGTAGTTTTTTTTGTAGTGTAGTGTTACTAATAAAGTCAACTGGAACACAAATATAATTTATAAAAATTTCAAAAGTTGGATTTATATAGTCTTTTGAAAAGCTAAGAGTATTGTCATTCTGATTTTGTTGGATGAAATCCAAATTTCATCATGGATTGGGTACAGTGCTTGAGCAACCACTAAGCTAATCCACAGTTTTCATTTTGGAGAAGAGGATATACCAGAGAGGCTTAGAGAAGCTGATAAAATCAAATGAGCTCAGATGGCTCATTCTGGTTCACAGAGTTACTTCCAAGATCAGGAATTTGAGGTTTATCGCTTTGCATTCTCTCTGGTTGGTGGGTTAAATTGTAAACAAAACACAAGAACAAATGGGGAAAAAGGATTAATTATTCATCAGTTACCCACTGAAATAACAAAAAATTGTTAAGACGATCAAAATGTGTGATGGAGCCAACACAGAACTGAGTCTCCAAGGTAGGAGAAAGAGCAAATACTTATTCTCTGAAGTCACGACACTTAGGTTATTTGTTTAATGTTTTGTGGTTCCTTGAAATAAGAGACAACAGTTCTATGCACAATGTTTATTTTATTGACACAGATATGGCAAACAAGCCTCTGCAAGCCATTTTGAAGAAATCATGGGGCCCATATGGTTGGACGAGGTCAGCTGCTCAGGAAAGGAGACGAGTTTCCTTCAGTGTTCCAGGAGGCAGTGGGGAAGGCATGACTGCAGCCATCGGGAAGATGTTAGTATTGCCTGCTACCCTGGCAACAATGGACACAGGCTTTCTCTGGGTGAGAACTGCCACTTTCTCCAGTATGCATTACTCATTAGCCACTGCACCTCTAACTGCTGGTCTGAAATGCGAGGTGTTTCTCATCTTTGGCTTTTTAAAAAATCTATTTTCCGTAACTCTCTAATTTTCAGTAATTTTTATGGAGAGAAGAATAATCTTTTGGGTCTCTCTACCATTATGAAATTTCTACCCCTAAATTTGTTTTTCTTTACTTAGAAGCCTGAGTTTCTCACTACAAATGTTTATATCAATCATGTATCTGAAAGATTGAATGAAGAACCTGCAATATTCATTTCTCTACCCCTTGGTCGCCTATTTTGATTTTCATTTACCAGGAATTCTAAAGAGCTATTTGGGACAATACTAAAAAAAAAAAAAAAAAGAAAAAGAACATTCCCCTCCTCCTACCTGTCTCATAATTAATTTCTTCTCTAGTCCAGACGTTTGTCAGTCATTGATCACCAGCCATCCAGTGCTCTCAGTGGGCTTCTATTTGGGTTCATTGGAGTTAATAGCCCACCAAACTTTCTAAGATACCCTGTTATTTTAGAAACCCTTCGGGACCTTTGCTACTCCCCAACTACAAATTTCTTCAGACTTGTAGTTGGATAAAAAGTAACTAGCTCCTCTAACAGTTTTGGAATAATTATGGATGAAGATCTTCTTGAGAGCAGAAAGCAGTTAAATATTCATGACAAATTCTTAATGTCTGATGAGGAGGGCAAAATAAATATGAATGAAAAATACAGAGGGAAATATTCAAAAGACTTTCCAGGATGCTATCACAGCTCTATTATAAATCTATACATAATTTGTGTGTGTATGTGAATAGATGTTATAATAGCGATAAGTGGTCCTTACTTTTAATCTCAGGATTGAAACAACTCCTCTTGTAACCTCCTATTTTAACACTGTGAAGCTGAAATCTTCATGTTATAAAATAAAACTTATTGAATCCCACAGTATTACCCGTACTGAATACTTTAAGTTTGTGTACTTTAAATGGCGAGATTATGGTGACTCACTGCACTCATCTAGCACTATACCAAGTAGAAATACAGCTTTTTACTCCATCCCTCGCAGGCCATGTTTCTAATTTTCTTTCTTTTTATTTGTTTTCCTTTTCTGTTGCCCCCTTCTTTTTATGGAGGATTTATGATCCCCTCAGGATTATGCGATGAATGATTGCATGTGGTTCGGGGAGATAGATCTTGTTTTCTAGAAATGGATCCTCTCAGCCCCAAATAGGTATTTGGATCATGGAGCGATCTATTCAGATGTGCTCCATCAGTACTCCCGGTGGCAAAATACTAACTATGTGATTGATCTGAGTTCTCTGAAGGCCTGTGTTGTTAAATACATTGTAAAGTTAGGACAACTAACTAATCTTCTCAGTTCCCCTCAAAATCTTTTTAATTCTGGGATTCTAGATGTATTTTAAAAAATTTAAAAAGCTGAGGCTGATAATTATTAATAAAATATGTGATCATTATTATGAATTTCTTTGGTTCTAATCTCTTTGGTTCTCAGTAATGTGTCTATTAACTAAAATCATTTTTCTGAAGAACATTATGTCTGAGCCAAATATCCTTTTGGGATGGAATCATATTACCATTTATTCACTCAAATAGATCATTACTTCCTCACTTATTAAAAAATACTGTATATTTCAAAGAGAAGCTTAGAGAAGGAGATCGTGGAATAATGATATGAGCAACAGCATTTAACAAAAAATGGAGATTGTTTGCTTCTTTGGCACTACGATAATGAGCTCTTGGACTATTGCTATTTTCAGCTATTCAAAGGGTAATTTCTGGACCTTAACTTTAAATGTGAATGAAACTCTTCTCAAAATTACTTATAGCTCCATAGACATTCTCTATATTTGGATCTGTAGGGGCTGGAATGCTCAAAAGCAATATTCTAGGTCATTAAAAGTAAGAATGCAGTTAATACCTATGTAAATTGGGGCAAATTTCTAGGATGATAAATATGTGGATTTCTCATTTTAATAAGACATTAATTCTGAAGTTCAGAGTATTAAATCCTAGCAAAGGTTTCTTTCACAGTGAGGTTGCCTCTTACTCTGTTATACAGTATAAATTTAGATTTTTAATTTGTGTTTATGCTAGATTTTATCTTTTTTGTAGGAGACAGTATTATTTTCTAAAAATAATGTATTATATCAATGTTATAGAAAAAACCTAAAGGAAACTAGTGGATTTTAGTTTGAGATGTATAATTAAAGATATTGTATACACATAGGGTTGTTTGGTTTTTCCAAACATTTTATATTTATTTAATATTTTAGCAATAAAATATGTTGTGTATTATTTTAACACCCTAACAAAAAGAACTTAAATAGTGAGAGGGTATGGACGGAATGCCTTTAATCATCCAATTTTCCTTCAAGAATTGAAAATCCGATAATTTTGTAAAATCACTGGCTAAAATTAGGTTCAGAAATATTTTATGCATTATTTTTACAAAGCATACATCTTAGACTTTAAGAATACTTTAGGAAGGTATGAAAAACTGCCCATAAAACCACTAAGATAGAACACGGAGATCTAATTCCATGTACAAATGTTTTCTTAATTTTGAACCAAAGATCCAAAAATATAAAAGTTAAAAACTTTAAGAATAGAATTTTATCTGTTTCAATTTGGTCTTTGAGGATCACTTTTTCACTGTATCCTCTTGCGTGGAACAGCCAAATTTCAGATACATGAATAAGAAATGAAAAGTGTCAAATGTACTGTGTTTTATGACACAACTAAAACTCCAAGCTTTTTTTAGCTAACAGTAGCAGTGCAAAGAATAGGCAACCAATAAACATTTGCTGATTTTGACTTTGCTATATGATTCTACTGCACTGCTTGTCCCATGAAATGAACATGATCAAGGCTAAAAAACCAGGGAGTCGACAACTCTGGGAGCAACAAAGAAGGATGGAAAAGTAAAAATGGTTCAGAGGAGTAAAAGCAGGATGTGACCACCTTGCCAGAAGTATTTTCTTTCAGTTAACAAATGTCACTTTAGTAATTTCATGTGTTGGTTAAAACATATATTAAATGATATTTTATTAGCTACCTACTTTTACCTTCTTAGTTCTCCTGGTAATTTTACCATGCTTCATTGTATTCCTTAAATCCTTACCAGTAACTCTTGGGGGCCCTGAAGCTGGAGACCCTTCTAGTAACTAGGTAATCAAATGTGTGCATATTAGTTTCCTTGAGTTGCTATAACAAAGTACCACAGACTGGGTGGCTTAAACACAGATATTTATTGTCTTAGAGTTTTGGAGGCTAGAAGTCCAAAGTCAAGGTGTCAGCAGGGTTGCTTCCTTCAGAAGGAATCGTGAGGGAAAGGCTATGAGAGATTGATATGCTCCAGGCCTTTCTCCTTGGCTTGTAGATGGCAGTCTTCTCCCTAAGTGTCTTCTCATCATTTTCCCTCTATGTATATCTCTGTGTTCAAATTTCTCCTTTTTCTAAGGATACCAGTCATATTGGATTAGGGTCCACCCTAATAACCTCACAATTCCACCCTTGACACTATGAAAGTCACAGTGAGCGCTTTCAGTTAAAACACCATAGTTATTGGTGTTGACAGAGATATGTGACACTCTACAAATCACTTCATTTACTTAATTTAGATAAACCTCAATTTGCTAGAGATCTGTTTCTCAACTTTTAAATTTTAGTAATTTTTATGAATTAAATTCTTCCACTGGAACCAATAGTAAATAGAAAGTCTTAGATGGAAATTGTCCTTGTTAGCTGCTTTTCTTTTCTTTTTTCCTCCTCTGGCCTCAGACTCATTCAAGTTACCCTTGTATGCCAAGGTTTTATCTGTTTATGCCTTCCTAAAACTATTAGCTTTGGAGTATAAATTTCTGTCTATGTTCATGGATAAATGAACAGACATGAAACAAAACCAAAGCTAAGTTAGTGTTATTTTACTATTTAGAAGTTAGTTGTAATAAAATAATTCACAATTTTACAGTGCTATTCATTCATTCAACAAACAGCTATTGCATGCCTGGTGCTGTTCCAAATTCTGGGGATACAAAGTTGAGCAAGGTGAGCACTTTGACCTCAAGGCTTCAAAAAATATTACAAAAGTGAATATCATTTGTTATTGACATCTCTCCTCTCTCTTTCTCTCCCTCTTTCTCTCTGTCTGTCTCTCTCTCTCTCAAAAAAGTATTGCCCAGCTGATTTTATAGCTGATTTTTTTAACTTGTAATTTGTAAAGTCTTTCATGCTTTAGCATCAATTTTCTTGTTTTGGCTTTTCTAATATTTTTGAATCATGACTTAGGTTTTCCTATCAGACTGATGGATGGAGAAAATAAGAAAGAAGGACGAGTGGAGGTTTTTATAAATGGCCAGTGGGGAACAATTTGTGATGATGGATGGACTGATAGAGACGCAGCTGTGATCTGTCGACAGCTTGGCTATAAGTAAGAAGCCCTAATTATTTGGGATGGTTACATGATGAACATTTCTCATTTTTTTTAAGGCTTGTTCTAATGAGTTACTTTTTACCTAAAATTAGTTTCTATCATTCATTTGAAGATACTGGCAGCATGCTGATTTGATTCAGAATTATAAAGAAGTAATAAGTAGAATCTATTCTAATTTTTCTCTCTTCTGACAAGAAGTATACACTATGTCATATTAGATATGTAGATTGTTATCTAATACCAAACAGTCTAATAACTATAACTGTTCACAAGGGAAGTACTGCTTCCCTTAGCCAAAGGTGTTAACCTTTTCTCTGTAATTTATATTTCAACACTGTAGCCTTTTAAGAGACCCTGAGTTATTGAAATCACAATCAGTTCTCATATCATTGACAGTAGTTATGTTCTATAAAGTCTCTGTGAGCACTGAATTAGCAGATACTGAGATATTGCTCCTAGAGCTGAGGTCAATGCTTACCTTATTTCAGTTCTCATACTTGTAAACAATTGTCCTTTTTTTGCAGTTCCCTCCTTTTTTTTTTTTTTTTTTACATTCTTGTGCTTTTTTTGTTGATGATGTCACTGTTTAAAATGGCCCCCAACGATAGTGCTGAAGTGCTGTGTAGTGTTCCTAAGTGCAAAAAGTCTGTGATGTGCCTTATGAAGAAAACAGGTGTGTTAGATAAGCTTCATTCAGGCATGAGTTATAGTCAGAAAAATGTGGCACTAAATATACTGTGAAAAGAACACTTGTTTGCAGTATGAAAACTAAAACAAGAAGGCAGATAGTCTCATTGTTAGATCTCAGCTGTGTGACTCAAATTTTTCCTAGCTTTGAGTAGGTCCATGAATGATGGTGGAAGCATCTAAAGTATTGAGTTTGGAGTTACAAAAATATGGAAAACATTACAACTTAGAGGGTTGTGAAATTTAAGTTCATATTTGTAAGTTGCCTAGCTCATAGTAGGTTACTAATAGTGGTTTGGATTTAAAAACATATCTTTAAGTATATATCTATGTGTATCTTAAATATTGATCAATTCAATTGGTTATTTCCCTGCAGAATACAGTTGACCCCTAAACAATGTCAGGGAGATGCTGACACCCCATGACCCCTGCACATGAATTCAAGATATACCTAACCTCAAATTTTCCAATATATTTATTGAAAAATTTTGTATGTAAGTGGACCCACACAGTTCAAACCTGTGTTATTCAAAGGTTTACTGTACATTTTAATTTTAGAAAGTATTTCTATTTTAATAAAAGTTGAAAAATTTTTGTAAACTAAATTCAAACTTTGTTTTTGGTTACTCATATATACTACTTCAATTTACTGCTCAATTTTGGACCAGTTTTCTTATGGTAAGTGTGTCTATTGTAGGTGATACACATTTTCAGTTTTCAAAGTATAGGGTAGTAGAGGAAGGTAGGGAGAGTATACATCAGATGCATAGGAGAATTTAGTCAGTGATTTATTTTATGTCTCCTTTGGTCACTATGTTTCTATTACTCTTTCTTCCATTTGAGAAAAATATATTCTTGTCCTTGCATTACATTCCCAGTATATTTCCTTACCCCAAACCAACTATTAAAAGCTATTGCTGTTTGAGATTGATTTCTTGGCTATACTTTTATTTTATTGTTTTGGAGGCAATGGTCCAAGAAACCTATGGAAAGTGTGAAAGGGAAGATTGGCATCAGATTTGATCCTCAAATTGGATGTCTTAGCTAAATTAAAAGAAGCTAAGTTAAAAGTTCCTAAGCATATCCATCAATGCATTATTACTTTGGTTTCTTTCTACAGTTTTCATTATTTTTTATTTATCATCATTTAGTCCATTTAGCATTCTATTCAAAAGTGAATTCAGTCTCATATTAGGATGGCTATTATCAAAAAAACAAGTGTTGGTGAGGATGTGGAGAAATTGGAACTCTTATACATTGTTGGTGGGAATGTAGAATGGTGCAGCCATTATCGAAAACAGTATTGAGGTTTGTCAAAAAATTGCAGATGATCCAGCAGTCCCACTTCTGGGTATGTAGCAAAAAGAATAGAAACCAGGATCTTGAAGAAATATCTGCACTCCCATGTTCATTGCAGCATTATTCACAATAGCCAAGGTACGGAGACAACCTAAGTGTTCATAGATGGATGAATGAGTAAACAAAATGTGATGTACATATACAAGGAGTCTTCGAAAAAATTCATGAAAGGATTTGTATTATCTTTTTTTTTTTTTTTGTCTTTTTGTCTTTTTCCGTGTCTGGCAACGGATCGCAACCCTCAGTGTTGCCCCCGTACCGGACCGGGGACTGGCAACGGGATTGCAACCCTCAGCGTTGCTCCCGCGCCTCGCTCAGCCAGTGAGCGGGAACCGGTCTGTATGTGGGATCCGAACCCTCGGGTGGGAGCGCCGCCGCGCTTCCCAAGCGGCGCACTATCCAGTGCGCCACCAGGCCGGCCCTGTATTATCTTTTAATTCATTTTTCCATGAACTTTTTGAATTGCTCTCATACAATTAAATGTTATTCAGACTTAAAAAAGAAGGAAATCCTGCCATATGAGACAGCATGGATGAACCTTGTGGATATTGTGCTAAGTGAAACAAGTCAGTCACAGAAGGACAAATACTACATGATTCAACTTATATGAGATGTCTAAAATAATCAAACTCATAAAGAAGAAAATAGAATGGTGGTTGCCAGGGGTTGGTGGGGGGAAGAGAAAATGGGAATTTGTTCTTCAGTAGATATAAAGTTTCTGTTATGCAAGATGAATAAATTATAGAGATCTGCTAAACAACGTAGGTACCTATAGCTAGCAATACGGTATTGATCACTTTAAGATATGTTAAGAGGCTGAGGCTAGATCTCATGTTGTGTTCATACCAAAACCAAACCAAAACAAAACATAAATAAAACAAAACAAACAAAAAAATGAATAAAAGAACAGGAGGAAATTTTTCATTTGATGGATATATTTAGTACCTTGGTTGTGGTTAGGTGTCATAGATGTATGCATATGTCCAAACTCATCAAGATTTTTACGTCAATTATAACTCAATAAAGCTTAACAAAAGACTAAATTTAGATGGGAAATGTAAGCTAGATTAAGTGACCAAAGTTTGTAGCTATTTTCAATAATGTTTCTGTAACAACTATCAAGAAAAGCATCAAAAGATTGTTATTTGTAATTTTTTTGAAAAAATCTCTTAAGTAATTCAGTAATTTAATTTTACTATAGCAAACTGTGTAACCCATCTTTTAGTCAGTATCTGCACAATATATAATTTGCCATCAAGTAGCATTTGAATGAAAATCATTTAGATATTTAATCAATCCAAATATACATGGATGGTTTTTATAATTTCCTACTGAGGGGAAATAGGATTTTATATAAGAATATATGTGTGTGTGTGTGTGTGTGTGTGTGTGTGTGTGTGTGTGTGTGTGTGTGTGTGTGTGTGTGTGTATAAAATTATAAACAGATATGTGACTAGAGCAGGGGATCTTTTTCTCCATGTCTATTTTGAATCATGAAAAATATTTAATAAGCATTTATTTGTAGAAATCAATCCAGAAAACTTTTAAGCTGTTAAAAGACTTGAGCCTTATTATTAGAAGTTCCAGAGATCTGTCCCCCAGCCAGCTATATCATGCTTGAGGATTAGTCCTTGGAAATACTGAGAATCAAAATGGCATTAGAAAGCATTTTCATGATGAGAAAAACAGAGCGAGGCAATAAAAACCAGGAAACATGAATGGTAACTAATGTGGATAGGGTAAACAGAAAAGTAAAAGGCATTATTTAATGATGTATTAGATAATGTCTGAGAAAGTCTAGCATATGAGCATATTGTTTTTAGAGGATTGATAGGGAATGTGTTGAGATCAGTTAAATTCATTGAGACAGAGTAAATAGCCATGATGGAAATTATATTTTATTTGAACGTTGTGCGAATCCATTAGCATATGTTTCAATATGGCATTGTTTTTGAGCTACATATTTATTGAGCAGTATTCCTTAAAAGAATATTAAAGGTGGTTTAACCTCACTGTTAGTAGAGATCTAAAATTAAGTTTATCTCGTTTCTATATTACATTTAAATAGTTGCCAAAAATTAATTTCGTTTAAAAAGAAAACAGTTACATCACTCTTAATTATATCCAGTGGAATATAAATATAGTGATTTGATCCTCTGTGTCTCCATTTAAAATATACATGAACAAAAAATACTTCTTTGACCTTACTTAGTTCCTTTTTCTCCTTGAAATTGTATTTTAATATTCCTTTCCCACAGCATTCTGATGTTAATATGCCTTGAAAAGCATGTGTATATACACACACATGCGCACATATGCATATATACACACATACACATATAAATACATATGTGGAGAGAGAAATTAAATTCTTTTAATAGGTCCCAAATTTCTCTCTGGATTTTATAATTTCTAGTATACAACTGATAAAAACCAGCAAAAATATAACAAAATTTATTAAACAATTATTATACATAGAAAATAAAAGTTTACCAAAGCTCCCATTTCTTAATTAGACCAATGGTTTGAGTTTATAGTGCTTCGATTAAGGAAAATTCATTGCTATCATAGATTTTTAATTGTTCTTTTGGCCAGTTTAAACCTTTGGCTTTTAAACCTTGGAACAATGCACTGTGGTAAGATTTGCAGTGAGCATAAGATATGCCTTTCTTTTGTGAAGTTGGAGAAAGGAAATTTGAAAGAGAAGTTGATCTTGATTTCAGTAAGATTACTTTTAAGAGAGAATACACAATGGAACCTGAGAATCTGAAAACTGATTCCTTTAAAGCTCATGTATCCCTTGGAAAGTCATCAACTATTCCTAAGAGCACTTGACGTTCGGTTTAAAGATTGGAACCTACTATCTCATTAAAATTCTCAGCTATGAATTATTACGTGCCTGTAAGTCAGTGAGAAGTTCCTTCCCTGTTTCCTATAGATGACATAGTCCT